TGAAGTTAATTTCGATTCTGTTCTGGGTGTTGTGTTGGGCTGCTGTGCTTAAATAAGTCATTTGCTTGGTGGGAACAAAGCTGCCATCAGGTGTGTGTGTGTGTGTGTGTGTGTGCGTGTGTGTGTGTGTATGTGTGTGGTGTGTGTGCATGTGCGCGTGTGTGTGTGTGCCAGTCTGGCCTCATGCTCAAGAGCACTGACCATTTGTATCTCCTGAGTGCTGGGATTAAAGGTATGCATCACCACACCCTTTGCCTTTTAATCTTGTCATTCATCCTAATTATTTCTTAGTAACTTTATTGTGTTTTCTATAGTGAACATTTGGAAACTTGTACTATCTACGTAGAGAGACTAGGGCAACCTTGAACTCACAACTCACTGAAGATTCTGATGAAACAGAGGCCATTTCCCCTCCTCACTCACCACACAGGGAAACGAGTCCCAGATGTCTACATCTGTCTCTGAAAGATAGGATCCCGCCCTGCTGCCACAGTACCCTCCCTCACCCAGCGTAGCCACAGTCATTCACATCTTTACATATCTACTTAATGTTCAGTTTTCTGTAGTTTTATTTATTTATTTTTGTTTTTGTTTTGTTGTTTTGTTTTTGAGATGTTTCTCTATATGTAGCCCTGACTGGGAACTCGCTCTATAGACCAGGCTGGCCTCAGATTAACAAAGATCTGTCTGCCTCTGCCTTCCAAGTGCTGGGGTTAAGTGTACCCGGCTTGGTTTTATTCCTTAAAAACTGATTCACTATATCTGTGTGTATGTGTCTACATAAGTTTATGTGCACAGTGTGATGTCCCGAGGGTCAGAGGGCCTCAGATCTCCTGGAATTGGAGTTCCAGGTCACCTAACCTGAATCCTAGGAACTGAACTCAGGTCCTCTGCAAGAACAGTCAGTGCTTTTAGGCATGAATCATCTCTACAGTCTGTTGACCAAGGTTTCTGTCCCATAAGGCCCCATAGCCAGTTAGTACCAAAATAAACACACAGAGGTCTACATTAATTATAAACTGATTGGCCCAGTAGCTCAGGCTTCTTATTAACTCTTATAACTTATATTAGCCCATAATACTTGTCTGTGTTAGTCACATGGCTTGTTACCTTTCTCAGTGAGGCAGTCACATCTTGCTTCCTCTGTGTCTGGGTGACGACTGCAGACTGAAACTTCCCTCTTCCCAGAATTCTCATTGCCCCACCTCTACTTCCTAACTGGTTGGCCCACCTTTACTTCCTGCCTGACTACTGGCCAATCAGTGTTTATTTAAAACTGAAATTTGCTAATCTTTTTCCTTGATGATAGTGTGATTTTGAGGTCTCGCTTAAGAAATCAGGCCTTAGTCCAATGTTAGGAAAGATGTCCCCTGCCTGTGCATGGAAGAGGCTAATTCTGCATCCTCTGTCTGGATTCCGAGTCTTGGGATGTGATCTGTGCTGTGCAGTGAGGGGTCCCTGTGACTTGTTTTCTCAGCTGGGACACTTCATGTGACTTCTGTTGTTCCTTCCCTGGCCAGTCTGTCCTTCCCACGTGGATGGACTGTGTCTTGTTGGCCTCTGGGTTGACCCTATAGAACCCCGCTGTGCCTTTCTGTACACCCGACACCTTAGTGGACAAACAAGGCTTGGGGTGTCTAGGATAGTATCCTGTTGTCCTCCCCACCCCGTTCCCACCTCTCTGTAGTTCTGTGAGCAAATGAAGCAACTCTGCTCTCCCACAGTTGACCTTGGGACACAGTCCCCTCCTGTGTGTTTTACCCCTCCTTGGTTCCCTGGAATATCACCACTGATTCTAGATGGTTTATGTTTTATTTCTTTGTGCATGTGTGTGTGTGTTTGGATGTACAGGTGTATATGAGTATGCATGCATGGAGAGCCCCAAGACAACCTTGGGAACATTCTTCAGGTGTGAACACCTTTTACATTTTATTTTTTAGATTTGTTTTTGACTTCCTTTCCACTGCTCCTCTGAGCACCACCCACACTTCCTTCCATGCTTATTCCTCTCTCTCCCTCTCCCCCTTCTCTCTCTTCCTCTCCCCCTCTCTCCTTTTCTATCACTCACATCTTGGCCTGGTTTAGAACTTTTCAAAGATTCAGGATTTAATGTTCTCAGTTTCTTCTGTTGTTTATCTCTTAGAAGGATTTGTTAGATCTGAATGTACGTGTGCTTCCAAAGTAACTACACAGAAATGTAATCCTGAAGACGACTTTATCAGGAGGTGGAGCCTGTGGGAGAGGAGAAGGTCACAGGGGCCCAGCTCCTCTTAGGATTTTATGAGCACTCTCGTAAGAGACTCCAGAGAACTGTCTGTCCGCTCCTACCACGTGAGGACACAGGAGGGAACTGATGTCTGTGGTCAGAAAGAGTGCCTGCTACAGACAACAGAGTGACTGTCACTTTTACCATGGGCTTCTCAGTCCCTCAGTCTTCGGGACCATGGGCTTCTTGTCCCTCAGTCTTCAGGACCATGGGCTTCTTGTCCCTCAGTCTTCAGGACCATGCTGCTGCTTTTGAGCTGTTGTATTTTGTGACAGCAGCCTAAGGGGCCTCATTTCATGTGTCTCATTGGGGCCGAACTCATTTTCACTCTGTCCCCCTGAATACTTGCGTGTGACTGGACAGTTCTCTGCAGTGCAGTGGACTGACTTACTGGCCTAAGTATGTACGGCTTCCATTGTAGCTGATTTCTAAAACCTTTGAGTTTTTATTATGCTCTTGTTATATTGAGCGAATTAGCTTTGAGACATGGTCTCTTTCGCATGGTCTGACGTGTAGCTGAGGATAACCTTAAGCTTCTCATCCTTCCGCCACTACCTCCTAAATGCTGGTCCGGTTACCAGACAGGGTAACTGCTCAGGGTCTGGACCAGGCATGTTCAGGCTGTCTGTCTCTTATTCAAGGAACTGAAATAAAGGTTTGCACAAATCTGCAAACACCAGGCAATGCTATTTAAAACAAAACAACAGAACAGGTCCGCTCCACCATGAAGAGTGGCGGTAGAGTACAGGGTTGAGAAAGCACCTGACAATTCTGATCTTGGCGTGGGCCTTCTTTTTGCAGAGTTTGAGAGGAGGGAGTGTTTAGTCAAGGGGGATGATTTGGGTGGTCTTATATTTTGTGTTTGTTTTAAGACAGGGTCTTACTATGTTACTCTGGCTGTCCTGGAGCTATGTAAGGCTGTCCTTGAGCTGGAAGAGATCCTCCTGCATCTAACTCCCAAGTGCTGGGATTAAAGGCATGTACCACTATGCCTGGACCTTCCTTTTTCTGTATGGCTCTCTACTTCAGTTTTTAAGCTCTGTAGTCTTTTCTTGGTTGTGCACATCCCTTCCCACAATGCACCTGATTTTAATCATACGTATGCTCGGTAGCGATTAGGCACAAAATGGCAAACCAAGGACTCTTCCTAAAAGTTCACTTAGAAGATAAGAGTTTGCCTTACTGTAAATGCTGCCCCCCCAAACCAGTTGATAGCAGACCAGCCCCCCCCCCACCGTAACATAACTGGAGTATGACTGAATAGAATCTAAGTATGAAGACTGTAAGGAGAGGATAAACTTATTCCATTGTTCCGAGGGGCTATGCACACAGTTTGATGTCCTGGGTTGCTATGTGCATTGCTCAGAGAGGGTATGTGTGCACATATGTACAGGGAAGGTTTCCAGGCTGCGAGGTGTGTTAGCAGAAGGGAGGTGTGCGCATATCTCAACCCGAGTGGAGTCCTAAGTTGTTATTGCCCGTGCTTGCCTGACTTTGCTGGTTTCCAGGTGTGCACCTGGTTTATGATAGGGATCTAACTGTGGGTTCCATGCACTCTAGATGGTGTGCTATAGGAAATCCTACAGCCAGTAGCCTTTAAGTTACCTGCCCACTTGGGCGTGGCCTCTTATGCTATTTTATGCCGATGTAAAGTGCATCTGGGCTCTTTTTCCGGCTGCGGGATTCGGCTGCTGTTTTCCGTTCCAGCAGAGGATATTGATTTGTGAGTCTACCCCTAAATAAATAACCCTATATTATGATCAGTTCTGAGCTAGTGTGGGATTTCTTCTAAGCGTCCTTCTTCAACTGAGTGCTTTAGCAAGTGAGTTATGTTTCCAGTTTTGTCTTTCATCACACTTGTAACATTTACATCAAATATTTGTGGAGATTTATACCAAAGTTACTATAGGGGAAGTGTGTTCATATCTGTTTGAAAAGACTGTCCTGGCCAATGCTTCATGAAGGCATCACCTGATACAAAGCCATCAAGGGACCAATCTGTCCTAATACCATGATCTAATTGTCTCTGGACATGGCAGGTTCACTAAACCCCTAGGTGTCTCTTAATCCAGTCAAGTTCACGGTCAACATCAGCCAACACACCACCAAGTTATTTCAGAATAAATGTCACACAGGATGTTTTCCTAGTAATTTTGATGATAATTTATCTAGCATAGATTATCTTTAGATCTGTACCAGTCAGCACGTGATGCATATTTTATTTCCTCTGTAGCCTGACATCAAGACCCCAATGGCTAACGAAGCTAACCCCTGTCCGTGTGACATTGGTCACAAGCTAGAGTATGGTGGCATGGGCCAGGAAGTTCAGGTCGAGCACATCAAGGCATACATCACCAAGTCCCCCGAGGATACAGGAAAAGCTGTGATTGTCGTCCAGGATATATATGGCTGGCAGCTGCCCAACACCCGGTATATGGCCGACATGATTGCTGGAAATGGATACACGTACGTATGAAGTTCTGTTCTTTGCTTCAATTCATGTGAATCTCTGTGGTCCACTTTGTTCCCTTCAGAAAGACAAACCCAAAAGCCGAACACAGCCTGAGCTGTATTCTCGTTTACATGATCTGTTTCCTTATCTCAGTCATGGGAACTGGGAACTATCCTTTGGAATTTAACACTGACCGGATGGAGCCAAGTCTTCCCAATAGAATCCCTGGGCATCAGGTCCCCAGTGGTACCTGACCCTACAGACATGCTGTACGGAGGGTCCCCACAAAGGGTTCCACCTAGGCACAGCACACCTGTGCACACTCCAGCACCTCAGCCTCAGGGTGGGTTTCACAGGTCTCCTTGGAAGGTGACTCAGAACAAAAGAAAGTCACAGGTCAAGGCACTTTTAAAGTACGCGGGTGGAAATATCTGGTAGGTGAGTTCTAGCAAAGCCTGCTGCTGTGGTGTCACGTGATAGCTGAGGATGCGCTTTGCCCTCGTGTTGGTGGATGCTACTGCCCTGTGACACATTCCAAGGTGATTTATCTGACAGTCACAGGGGTGTTAGGTCAGACGAAGATGGGTGATGAGTAGATGAGGACGGCTGAAGACACCCATGGGACCTGGGCTCTGGACCTGCAGCACCTCAAATTCTCCACAGTGGTGAAGCTCCAATCAGTTTACTACTCTAGCATCCCCTTTTGCACAGGTGAGGTGGCTTCTTTTTTGGGAACTTGAGTTCATAGTCCCCAGGAAATTGCAAGTCCAGGGTGAGCCCGTCTTCTTCCCCCCACTGAGCTTCGATACAAACAAACCTAGGGATGAAGAGACGACCTTGAGGAGAGTGGGGCAGTTTCCAGGGGGAAGCCTCTAAATAAACCTCTAAAGCCCACGTGCACAGAGACCCTAACCCTTGCAGCCATCCTGGGTAGGAGGGATAGCACCTTCCCCATCTTGCAGATTGGGAAGTCCAGGCATGAAGACAGAGGCTCTTAGCTGCTCTGGGTGAACTGTAAGCAGCTGATTGAACAGGATTAGAGTTTACAAAGCCCTGACCCTCTTACTTACTCACCCTCAAGCAATCTGGGGCTGGGCAGTGCTCATTTCTGTCTGTTTGGTCAAGAATGCAAGGCTAGGGACTGGAGAGATGGCTCAGTGGTTAAAAGTACTCGGTGACTTGATAGAAAACTCAGGTTTGGTTCTGAGGTCACACATGGCAGCTCACAAGTGTCCGTAACTGTTACAGGGGATCTGACACCTTCTTCTGGCCTCTGCAGGTAGCAGGCGTGTACATGACACACACACAAACAAGCATTCCTGCACATATAAATAAATCATAAAGAATGTGAGGGCAGAAAGTGGTCAGTGATCTGCCAGGATCTCACTACAGGACAGGTGGTACTGAGATGGGAATCTGACCTTTCTGGCCCAGGCCCTGGTGCTCCACCCACCTGTGCAGCAGAGGGGCTGGTCCCTTGAATCACAGCCATGGCTAACTCTTTA